GATTTGCGATACCCACCCCGTTCAGCATTGTTTCAGTGTTGACCCACTTCTTTTTGGACTCAAATCAGGCTTACCCATTCCTTTTCAGCGTAGGAGCAACAAGCCCGAGGCTTCTCGAACTCAGTTTTGAAGTGCCGAGCTCATTCGACATCGACCCACTCTCAACCCAAGTGGTCTTAGTGTGAGTTAGTAGGTAACGACTCACCTAAACTCGGTTTCAATTATATTTAAGTGTTTCTAATTGGTTACTAACCTCGAGATCGTACTTCTTTTGATTTAGGAAGTCTTCGACAAGCTTAAGAGCCTTAGGACATTTGTTTGTAAGTAGTTTCTTACTAGAGGGATTGGTTGTTGTGTGCTGATATGATATGGTTGTTTGCTCATGTGCCCATGTGTGATACTTGCATGTTGCTTGTCGTTGTTATCATTTAGTAAACGTCATTGTTGATAAAACTGTTGATATATCTTGGGAAAATTATGTGGTTGTATGAATCAATTGTAGCCAGGTAATCTTGRATGACTATGATTGAATTGTTGTTATGTTCTAATTGGTTTTCATGATGAAATTTGTATACCGGTACTATAATTTGTTGTTTCGAAAGCATACTGAATATTTATGAGAAATCGGTTGTGTTTGATGTATGCTGGGTACTTATCAATTACATTTAGATTAAGTTGTTGGTTGTGCCTTTCTGTGAACGATGCCTGTTGGAGCTGTTGGATCATGCTGGAATATTTTAAATTGATTGGTTTTTACATATGATCATTTTGGTGTATCGTATATTGGACTGCTATGAGATTGGTGATGCATGAGGCATGGCGTAGAAGCAAGTAGGAATCTTGTGAGAGTTTTGAGACATAACAAAGTAAGTAGACAAGGGGCGTGTGCGTGCGTTAATGTATGCTAAATGGTCTCTAACGTGCTAATTTTGTAGCGTTTTATGCAAATTCTATTACGTCAATGTGCTAAATAATTCTCGTTGTGTTAGTCGATATACTTGGAATTGTGTTGGATGTTTGTCGTTGAAAATTGTGAGATTTCTGCTTTGCTAAATTGATGAGTATTGCTGTGGTAATGTTGGTTGCCTGGATATGCATGAATTGTTCGGCGTGTTTCGTGTGTGTTATTATATCTAGCAATGCTTATTGAATATTGATGTTGGATATTAAGTGTTGTGGGTGAACTATGTTGGGCTCTAATTGTTTAAAATTTGTTTGGTTATGCTTTGTTGTGACAAAACTCATTGTGGAGCTGTTGTTAAGAAATGTTATATTATGAAAGCATGATTGGTTTATTGTTATCTCATTATTAGAATGATGTTTATGTTGTGGAAGCATGCTGAATGGTGTTTGTGAGTTGAAAGGTGCATGGGTCATGGCTTAAGAAAGCATATGGTTAGACTCTGGTGAGAGTTGGATTCTTGGAGTAAAGGAATGAGTGAGTGTCAGGGCCTCGGGTATAAATGGTCGGGGGCTGATACGTCACTAATGGAGTATCGAGACCTCGGGTAAAAATGGTCGAGGGTCGATACGAGGAGTCCTTTGGGAGGAAGACTATTGGGGTCTTGGGTATAAATGGTCAAGGGCCAATAGATGGTGAAGTCATCGGGGCCTCGGGTATAAATGGTCGAGGGCCGATGCAGCAGTGTCGGGGCTTTGGGTATAAATGGTCAGGGGCCGACTCTACTCAAAGGAGATAACTGTGGGAGGTTAAGATAACTGTGATAAGCGTAGGGGTACTTGTGATGTTAGGGAGATTAGAGGTTGGTTGTTAACGTGCTTCCTGGCTGTGGTTGTCACTAAATTTTATGGAATGTGTTTATGTTTGAATGCATGATGTATTGAAAAGCATGACTACGAATGTTTCTTGTCGACCATGGTGATGGACGGAGGAGACATGACAAGCGAGGACCATAGGCTGCTTAGTCACTCTTGCTTAGTTTAAGTTATTAGTTAAGACCTTATGTTTTGGTCAATAAACCATTTGTTTGTACTTGATTTATTGGGAGGTTCCCACTGGTTGTTAATTTCATTTCGGGATAGGTGTCTATTTTAGTTTTCTTCCATTCGTTGAGTTTTGCCTAGTTGAATAATAAAATTGCCTCGTGAGGTGGCCCACGATTGTTGTTGATCGATATTCTATCTAATTGATGTATTGTTGAATTGATGAAAAGTGGAACTTGATTTTTTTTATATCTTTGTTGCATAGGGAGTTGGCATGACGTATTTGGGGTTGAGTTTAATTAGTTGAGTAGTTAACGTGACCTAGAAATGTGTGGGAAATTCTGGGGCGTTACAATATGCCTCTAAAATATTGGGTGGATGCTTTTCTTACTGCTGTCTATCTCATTAATCGAATGCCCTCTAAGGTTCTAAGCATGAATTCACCGTTTCATAAGCTATTTGGCAAGGAACCTAGCTATAACAATCTGAAGATATTTGGATGTAGATGCTTCCCTTATCTAGAAACAATCCCAATAAGAATAAATTCAGCAAACAAACTTATCCTTGTGTTTTTATCGGCTACAACATGGTTCATAAAGGATATCGATGCCTAGATCCTACAAACAACCGAGTATATATATCACGACTTGTTTTTTATGAAAGTTTATTTCTTTATGATAAACTATCTACTAACAACTCCACCAAGAGAACATTTTCTTTAGTTGTTTCTGATTTTGTAGGCACAATGGACAAGGAGGACAATCTACCAAGTATGGAGCACTCTGAAGGCCAAACAAAATCTAGGATCCCAGCAAGTCGGGTCGTCAGGTCCCTATAACCAACCATCTCAAAACCAAGTAACTGACGATAGAAGTCAACTGTCATGTGAGCAATATTAGATTGATCAGTAATCACCTGGCAACATCCAATATCATAGCAATATCAAAGAATCAAACCCCTAATTGTTTATTCGATCGGATAAACCAAGGATCAAACACGAGGCTGAACCAAGTCAGCCTGCAACAAGGTCTCATTAAACTGCACCATCCCAGCCACATCCAACTGACCATCCAAAACCTCCGACGAGTGATGAATGACATTAAAATCACTCATAACCACACCTGGACCGGTCCACAAAGAGCAGATCGAAACCAGAGATTCCCACAAGTGAGCCTGCTAGAAGGAGAATTTGAAGCATAAACAGAGACAACCTAAACCGAGGGTTGAGAAACCCGATCAAGAACTACACCATAAACCATTTGGGTAGTAACAGTAAGCGGGGTAAACCCATAACGGCACGGATATCACAACACCGAAATCTGCCCCAGATCAGAGGAAGAATAACTGTCTATACACTGCAGCCTGGAATGGGCGAAAAGACCGAATCAAAATTGCAACACATGACCCTGGTTTCCACCAGACAACAAAACCCAACACGAATACTACTAAAAAACGAGCGAACCTCACGTCTGCAAAAAAGAAAGGGTTGGATATCTCACCTTTCTATCCTTGTTGCAATCATGAGTTGGAAACAATTGTCCACTCTATTTTCTATTGCAAGGGGCTAAGATTATTTCACGGACTATCCTTCCCTCTGCCCTAATCCTGTCAGATACATTCAGTAATTTTTGTGACTTATGGGATTTTTTTTCAAAATCATCCTAGTTTTGATGTGAAATATTTGGCAGCAGTTACCTTCTAGGCAATTTGGAACGATAGGAACCCTTCACTTCACAGAGGCCGAGCCCCACCCCAGCAGTAATGGTGCGGCTTAGGTCAACTAACACAGAGAATCTCAGTAGTTCTTCTATCGTTCGTTCAAGGGATAACTAGTTATAGTAGGCATGAAGGAGCTAAATGAGAGACGTTAATATTATATATTCAAACTAACTAGTTTAATAGTTTTTAAAAAATTGATCTAAATTTCAATTTTAGTCTTCTCGAATAAAGATCTGTGCTTCTCTTGTGAGCGAGTCCGAAGTGGGCCCCTTAATAATATATATATATTATTTTTTAGATACTAACTCTTTGGTTGGATCAGACATGGACTCCATATCCTAATTCCATTCATTCGAAACTAGATTCACTCGTTCTTTCTTGTCTCCGATGATTCTCTTGGCCTTGGCCTAACCATCACTCCGGGACCGTTAACCACCTTCTTTGCATTCTCCGATGCCGACTGGGTTGGTTGTCTCGATCTTGCCACTTCACATTACAACATGTCTCCTGAAAGGTCAACAAAGAGCGCTCCTACTTGGGGAGAGTTTTGAGTTATTTGTTTTTCCGTTGTAATTTGGAAAAGAGTTGACGCAGCAGGGCGATCTATTTTTCTGCCAATTTCATATGTCCCCTTGCTAGCTGAGCTTCGGGCAATCTTGGAAGGCATAAGACTTGCTCAATCCCTTCATTTCCCCAAGAATAATTGTAGAATCAGATTCTCTTGAGGCTATCAATTTGCTAACTAGAAGATAGATAACACTTGGAGATGCTAGAGTTTGGGTACATGACATTTAAACCCTTTCTCTATCTTTCGATTCTCTCCAATTTTTACACGCCTCACGCCAGCATAACAGAGCAGCTGATCATTTGGCAAAATCTGGCCTTCGAAGTGATTTTTCCAGTTCATGGTTTTTTTCTTTTCCCACTTGGCTTCGACGTCTTATATAGAGACTGATGTCTCCTCATCTTTTGTCCGTGTGGTACTAAGTTTACTTTAATTGAATGCGAAGTTCCTTTTAAAAAAACATTTTTCATTAGTCAACAGTGAAATAAGGAAAACG